TGTGTGCGTGTGTGTGTGTATAAGAGGAAGGAGAGTGGCAGGCAGCAGGACAAAAAGGCTCTAAATTCAAGGCAGTCAGTAAGCCAACAGTGTGCAAGAATACATACATAATCCTCCACATTTCTAGAAGATATAATATACCCTTGTGGCATTTCGTCTTAGGAGGGTGCTAGATATATGAATTCTTATGAATGTTATGGTAGCAAAAACCCATTCAATATAGAATAGCATTGAAATACTGCAATTCTAACATGTGGAAAACAAAGGAACTTGAATCTTGCTTAAAATGTTCTAATATAGAACATGCGTGGTATCCAGACAATTCACAGCAATGATACTAATACAACTCTGCCACAGACAGACAATACAAATCACTGCACTCAAAGGCACAAGGCACTTTGTCCACTACAGAATCACAACACAGCTAACAAGTCACAGCAAAACCAAATGCGACAACAACCCCCTCCTGCAACTCCACTGAAATTCTCACCTCTACCCCTTCCATGGCAGGCTGAACCAAAACAAAAATTACAGCATGAAAAAAAGCAACAAAAAGGTAAAAGGAAAAAAATAAATAAAAAATAAAGTGTTCTTCATATTGCAAGTCATAAACTGACTTTTAATAGATTGTTCTCACCTCAAACTGACAGAATGGAGACAAGGAACATCTCCCGCACTCTGAAATGCTTTCCTGAGGATGGGGAGGAAAATCATCTTTTTCTATTTATGTCATTTACATAAAAACTTCCCATATACTCAAACACAGTAAGGGTTATTGGGGTTAACAAGACAGTAAAGACACAGTTATCAGAAAGCACAAATAATTAACAAATGCTCAGCAGCAAAAAGCACACCTTCTACCCTCAGATGTCAACATGGCCTTGGGATAGAGTCTAACAGTGTTTCTTCCCTAAGTCAAATGTTAAAAACAGTGTTTCAAGATTTGTGTAAGGGGAAAAATGGTAACACCTTCTTGATTCAAACACATTTTTAAGACTTACTTTGTGAAGTAAATAATTCAATGTTTTATGTAACGTACTAAGACATTAAAAGCGGGGGGAGGGGGGACTTTCCCAACTAGAGTCAGAAAAGAACCAGGCTGTATAGCCCCACGAATCACACATCTCTAAGCCCCACTCCCCAGACCACAACACCACCCACCAGAGAGCTGAATTATCTTATGTAGCAAAGGAGTCTTCATAAAACATAAAACTAGCTGCATGTGTGTTCCTGAACATGTGCTTGTGTGTGTACAGAACTGTTCTAATAGGTGGTCGTATGTCATCTGCTGTAACGTCAAAGGGGAAACTGATCTAAATATGGAGACCTTCAGGGGAGATTCTGTCTGTCTGTCTGTCTATTTATTTATCTATCTTCTACTTCTACCGCTACTACTACTACTACTACTACTACTACATATTTTAAAATATGGCATCTAACTAAGCAAAATTATTTGGGAATTCTACCAAACAAAAATAAACTACTCAGAACCAGTGCCCATTCTGTACAACATTCCTTAAAAAAAAACAAGGAATGCTAAAGAGCAGAGCACAGTCCTATCCCTGGGATTGGGTGATGGAACCACAGCCATGCTCTCTGCCTTTGAACCCCAAATCCTATGGATTGAGTTTCAGACCCACAGTTAACATCTTGGCATATAGTGTTGTCTAGATTTTTCACAGAATGATGCAAAAGATTTTAGGAGGAGCTCAAGAACTTCCTAGAACCCATGCCCTGATCTGCAGAACTATACTCCCACCCACAAAAAAAAAAAAATATTACAAAAGTTTATGGAATCTTTTCAGTTCAACAAAAGTCATTAATCTCACTAGGTTTTGTTATTGTAGTTATTCTAGTACTAACTATGTGTTTCAGGGAACTATCTCATTTACTGTTAAGAATGGATGTAAAATTTAAAGTAAAACTATCTCTATGAGATGAGACAGCTGTACCTACTCCTAAGACCAGAGGCTTTATCAATACACTCTGCTCTCTTCCGTGAAGATTTCCAATTTTGTTTTGCATATATAAATGACCAACTTCTCCAAGATTTTTTTGCATATGTAAATAGTAAGTTGTCCACAAGGTTGTGAATAGCATAAAATTTCTTTTAAAAGTTTAAAATCCTGGTTTAGTTCTGCTTAGTTGGCTGATCAGAAGCAGCAGGAAAGATACAAAAACTATAGTCATACAGAATGATCAAAACAAAGCATAATTAAAAAAATTACAAGCTGGAATGAAACACAGCATCCAACAAATACGCACAAGAAAAGACAAAATGCCATATTATTTATGCCTTGAAAGAACCATGAGGAATTCCCTAGCAGGGACACTACTGTAAAATGTAACTGGACATCAAAGAAAGTATAGACGATACCATTCCACTGATAGGGCATCATTAACTTAAAAATACTTTGAAAAATTAACATATACAGTATATTAGATTCAAAACAGCATGCATTTTTTGAGGAGAGTAAGTCTTTAATGGTAAACATCAGACACTTAAAAAGATTTAACTAGCGTGGTTTTTCTTCAAACCAAATAAATTAGCTTCAAGTGCTAACCTTTTTTAAGTTTTGGCAAATAATTTGGGTGAGGAATTTAGGCCTAGAAAATATACATGCTAGTATTTATGTGATGATCCTTTATTACATTCTCCTTAGTGCTTGCGAGTCGTAAAAAATGTCTTGGTGGTTTTATCAGACAATAATGATTAAATAGACTACTGCTGACCGAAGGATAGAAAACAATGGAAACAACAGGTGAGATATAGACCACCATGTAAACAGCAACTACCAAGAACAGTCTAGAAAAAATACTGTTTAAAGCAAAACTAATAAAATTGAAATACTAACATTTTAAGCTTTCCAGAATTTGCAACAAAGACATTATATTTAACAGAAGGGAGATTTTTAAAGAAACTTAAAAAGGAATGTTTAGCCATTAAGACAAAAGCATGATGTAATTCTAATAAAATAAAATGTTTAATAGTTTACATGGACTATCATCACATAAAACCATTTCTCACTAGCAATTTAATTAAGGCACTGCTCTGCCATTAACAGTGATATCAGCAGTGCACTACAGGGTGGCCTTCCCAGAAACAAGCGAGTCACTCACGTTTCCGTCGCTCCGCTGGCCCCCTTTGTGGGTGATGACCACCACTTCCATCCACTTGCGCAGATGTTGCTGTGAAGAAAAAAAAAAAAAAAAAAAAAAGACAAATTCTTCATGACGGCCATTTTACTTTCAAATACTAACTACCCTATGGTGGAAACTTGTCATTAATTTTCCATGTTTTAATGTATAAAATTTGTTTAACTGTGGTTCTCACATTATATTTAAACACCTTGATCATTAAACTAGCCCTATAGATAATACAAAGACTGAATTTATCAATACAACAGAAAAATTTTAGAAACCTACTCATTCCAGTGCCAGGCCCTGTCACTTTCATGTTGACTATTTTCTCAACTCTTCAGAGAATACTGTGATGTGATAGGTACCAGGCTAGAGATGGAGCAAGAACTGAGCTGGCAGACCTCATTCCTATCCTGGAGAAGCCTGTGGCCAAGCAGGGAAATAGGTAAAATGAAAAGATAAAACACCAGGGGCATGCTGTGCAAAAGCGCAGTTATGATAAGCTTCCCAATAGAGCAGGAAGCAGTCTCAGGTAAGGGCTGGGGTTAAGGCAGTTCCCATGGAGGCTATGATGTCTGAACAGGGACAGGAAATGGACCCAAAGTGGGAGAAGTACACTCTACGCAAAGGAGATAAGGGTGCTAAAGCCAAAGGAGAAAAAGCCACTGGAGCAAAGAAACAGTAGCACATGGGGCCCAGGAGAAATGGTCTGTGATACATGTATAGATTCCTCTAGATCAGAGGCTGCACAAATAGATGCCATCAGGCAGAAGGTCAATCCTATACAGAATGAGGGTAATCTTTATGTATGTAGTGAGACTGCATTTTTAGCAAGCACATGGGAAGAAAGCCCTGCCCATAGCTAATCTGGGTTTGTGGTAACAATGCTCCAACTAGGTAAATTCAAGTAGACAAGCACTCAAACACTACCTAACAAGGGCATTCAAATAACAAAGGGTGTTTGGGGTTTTTTTTTAATTTTCATTGTTTAGAAAAGCTTTTTAGGGCACTTGTGGCAGACCACCAAATTACGTTCTCTTGAAAAATGAAGTCCCTTGAGCCTTCATCTTTCCCTGACCTTTTTGTCAACCCTATTTCACTGAGATATGCAGAGCTAGCTATATTGAACCAGATGTTCCCTTAACTGGCTAGGTCTGGCCCAGGAACCAATGTATCTCATTTCAGCATACAGGCGAGAAACTACCCCCACAACCCATGGCTGGAATGGGGGGGCTCAAGAACCTGTGAAATCTCAAGGCTCAGACTAAGACATGAGACAACATTTCAACTGAGGCCATGGGACTCAAAAAGAATTATACCTTCCTGGCAGAAAGGTGTCAACTTCACATACAGCAAGCTATCCACTGGTTGCATTGCTAATTGAAGGGCCTTTGTACCTGGTACTTACAGAATAACTTTCTCCTTACAGCCAATGCCTACAACGTTTCTCTTCCCTAGCACTCTGCTGTGATTCCCAGCTACCTCCCTGTCTAAAACCAATAAAAGCTGTGAGGTTTTCAACTCCGGGCTTTTTGTTCCACAGCACTGGGTCATCCTTAAAGCTCTCATCTGTAGAACTTTTTCTCTTTTTACTTTGTATCCATGTGCCATATTGCTGGGAGACCTGAACCCTCTGAGGTAGTTTCTGCAGGCACTAATGTCCTCTGGGAAGTTAAAAAGTTAGGATTCCATGATGCTACACAGGCTTAGAGAAAATGATTTTAACACCTCCAAACACTCTTCTCTTTCCTGAGCCTTCAGTATCTCTAAAGTCCTGGTCAAACTTCACAAGGTCTATTTCCCAAACTCATGCAGCCAAAGAGTAGGTTTTCATGGAACACCTACACACTGCATGGTTACCAATCAATGCCAAGAAACGCATTAAATAAAAATCACACTTCTTCAGAACACTAGAACTTTTTTTTCTTTTAACATATTTTAGTGCAGGGTCTACAGGGTCTCACTATGTAGATCGGACTCGTAGTGATCCTTCTGTTTTCAGCCTCACAAGTGCTGGGATTACAGGTGTGTGACACCACATTCAGTCTCAATCAAGTCTCAGCAAACCTCGTGGGCAGGGATGGACCAGCATGGCTTGTGGTACTGGGATCGAACCCCAGCCCCTGTGCTCTGCCTAAGCAGTCACTTTAGTCTGCTGAGCGATCTGTCCAGTCCTAGAATAATATTTTACTAATAAATTCTCTCAAGGACATTAACCACCAGACTATAAATTCATGAAACTTGTTATCTTACTGGAACAAACATCTATACAAAGCTATAAATTAGTAACAGAACTCAAAGTTTAAACCATGTCAACCATTCTTTCTGCTTTTGCATTTCTCAAAGGAAAAAATGACACTGATATACAAGATCATTTTCAATTTTTAATTCAATGACTAAACACAGAAGATGCTACAAGATCAAGCAGTGCAAAATAAGAAAGGAACTAGATATGGTATATAAAAGAACAAACCCAGATCATTATACCATGTACAAAGATGAATTAAAAATTTGACAAAGATTTAAAAAGAAATAAAGCTATAAAACTCTTAAAGGGAAAATTTTCAAAACTGTTTTTCATGAATGTCAACGCTGCAAAGACATATTCTCCTTTTTGACACCATCAACAACTGAGTTTCGTTCTAAAGAACATGGCAAATCAGGCTAATCAACAGCTATTGTGTCCCCAGCATGGCACAACAGACACAGATTAATTCAAGACCTGTGTCACTAAGTAGAAATAAAGCCAGGTGTGGTAGCACAGGGCTATAATCCCAGCACTTGGGAAGCAGAGGCAAGAGGATTGCCAAAAGTTTGAAGTCAGCTTGGACTACACAGCGAGTTCATGCCAGCCTGAACTATATAGCAAGACTGTGTATCACAAAACCCCCCAAAACAAAAATGAACAAAATCAACGTAGAAACAATGTGAATCCAGCTATATTATGAACCTAGCCATACTCAGCTAAGGTAGGTGCTGAATGGAAATGTCTAGATACTAAATAGCAGTTAAATCATTCTTTGTAGTGCACTAATCCTCTGCTCTTAAGAGGATCTTGGACCATTAAGAGAGCCAATGGCACCGTGGAGATGGCTCAGTGGAATAAGCGCTTCCCTGGCAAGCGCAAAGGCCTGAGTTCAATCCCTGGTTCTGCAAAAAAAAAAAAAAAAAAGAAGAAAAAAAAAAGAGAGCCAATGAAGGGGGGACAAAACCCCCTGAACAAGCCATGTGCTTTGTTTTAGAAAAAGAGATCCTTGGCCTCAGAACCCACAAACTATGAAGCAGTTCTCCTAAAAGTGCATTAAAATAAGTCTGGACATCAATATTCCCTAAATGAAGTGCTAGTTCAGAGATGTGAAAAGTGTGATTAGAAAAGAAAGGAGGCTTCAGGGAGTCACACAAAGAAGTGACAGTGACAGAGAACTAGTACAGCAAATAGTCATGAGAACAAATGCCCAAACTCATCTATGAAAGCACCAAAATTGAAGCTGGGTGTGGTGGCACATATCTGTAATTCCAGCACTGAAAAGGCTGAGGCAGAAGGATCACTATGAGTTCAAGGCTAGCCTGTGCTACATAGTGAGTTACAAGCCAGCCTGAATTACAGAAACCCTGTCTCAAATATTAAAAAAAAATTAAATTAAAAAAAAAAGAGAGAGAGAGAAAGCACCGAAGTTGGAACACAGAAGGGAAGTGTGTACTGGATGTGCTCTGATTAGGCAGCAATTCAACTTCATTTGTTTGAACCACTATCTGCAAGCATGGAAATTAACTATATAAGTACACTGCACATATTTTGAGGCTTAAGAAAAGTACTTTCCAACTCAGAAAATTCATTCCAGTAAATAGTTTATTTTCCAGTTATCACCTATTATTAACATATCAGGGCCAGCCAAATAGCTCAGTGGATTAAAGCACTGGCAAGCAGGCGCAGGGGCCAGGGATTCGATCACCAGGCCTGCTATGCTGGCCCCACCCCCAAGACACACTGAAATGGCAATTGAGACTGGGCATGGTGGCGCACGCCTGTAATCCCAGCTTTTGGGAGGCTGTAAACAGGTGGATCACTATGAATCTGATCTAGTAGTGAGACCCTGTACACCCTGTAGACCTTTCCCTAAAATTAAAAAAGAAGATATCAAATGATTCTGAGGTAAAAGCCTGTGTGGTTTTCATATATACATATCAGGTATATATCTATTCCACATAGATGTCTATGTAATCTTTATCTACGTACCTTCTAGTTATAGCAGAAGAGAAAAAAATACCTCCACTATCACAAAAGGTCTAAACAGTCAAAGGCCAATTAAGCATAAACATGAAAGAAAATGTACATTTGTCATAATGTATGATTAAATTGTTTGGTGAGCATGTATTTATTTATTTATTTCTATTTATTTATTTTTTGGGCAGAACCAGGGATCTGCTCATTAAAGTTAAGGATGGGCTTATATAATCATTTAAAATGATAAAGCATTAACCAAAAAAACAAGCAAAACCACATTGTGGGAAACAGAAAAATACCCATGTCTCCTGGAAGAATGTCAATTACTTCTAGAAAGAGACACTCACACACAGGACAATGCTACCACTGAATGCCTTGGGGAGGTACTGGGCAGAAGCGAGGCAGGGATGAGGGATGGCAAGGAGACATTCTGAGCTTTTGTATTGTAAGCCATGTGAATACATTATTCATTTTAAAAACAATGTAAACAGTACATGGTGGCACATGCTTGTAATCCCAGCGTTCTGGGAGGTTGAGGCAGGAGGATTCCAAGTATGAGCTCAGCTTGAGTAACACAGCAAGATCCAGTCTCAAGTTAAAAAGGCTGAGGTGTGGAGATTAGGCAATCTCAATGTAAAGATTATGGGGGTTTAATCCCCAGTAGCACAAAAAAGAAAAGGAGAAAAAAAAATTTTTTTTTAAAAGACAGGGGCTCATTAAAGTTCAGGATGGGCTTAAAAACTCACATCTGCCCAGAATGGTCTCAAATTTGGCAATCCTCCTGCCTCAGCCTCCCAAGTGGTGGGATTGCAGGTGTACAAGCATCTCAAATTTATCACAGAATTGGTTTAGTTCCATTTGGCTTACCATCATCTGATCACAAAATTTGTCATTAAAGGAATTTGGAAAAAGCCTTGTAACAGAAGTCAGACGATTTACAACATTCAACGTTAAGCTTCGGTAGTCTCCCAGCATCATCAGCAAAGGCCTCATATGTGTATGAATTTGATCTACTTCAATAGTAGCACCTTCTAAAAACTATTAAAAAGAGAAGTTAAAAAAAAATAATCAACAGTGAACACTTTATACTTTACTCATAGTCATCTCTAGCAGCGAGTGTTTTGTTTTTTCCCTTAGGAAAACAGTACTAAGTAGCTGTCTTCTAGAAATCATTGATGAAATGAGGGGTTAACTTTACTGTTTAACATTTTTAAAGATCCAGTATGATTACAAAGCAGACAGACTTAACAGAATCTAGCCTGTGATACAAAAACAAGCTGATTTCTAGGTGTCTCTTTCACACAGACAAGCTCACCTTTCTCATACAGGCTTCTCCAGCCTCCTGGAGCTCACTGTTCGTGGAATTAAGGGCTTTGAAGAGTGCAGCAATGATTTTTTCCCTGGACTGAGGCAGGTAATTGCAGGCAGCAAGTGCATCTTTATAGAGAAAAAATTGATACAATTTTATTATTAACCTGAAAAATACCTAAACAATTTTCTTCTTTAAAAGAACCAACTGATATGAACCACTAATCCTTTTTCCTGCCAAAAACAAAAATAAAATGCATGGTCCTCCAGCCACATATTCAGTGTTATCTAGGAATGAGGTCAGTGTTCTGCCTGAAAGGCCAAGATAAGTCGGCAGATACCCTTGCCTCCAAGACATCCTCATAGGTTAGTACATGGCTGTCCAGGGCAGGCCTATCTGAATTAGAGGGTGTGGCCTCTGAACTTCCAGTTACAGATAACACAGGGATGCAACACACATGGCTCTCTACAACATAGTCTCTCCACTACACAAGTGACAAACTCTGGGGTTTAAAGGCTTCATGTCTTTGAAAATGCAAATATTCTTAAGAAAGAGGACTTGCCTCGATCCAAGGTTAGTCAGAGATGACAACCTAGCAAAATCCATACTCATATTTGCTAACAGAAATGGAGTCAAAGGACAGGCAACCAAAGACAATTCTAGAGAACTGAGGACCCCTCTCTCCCTTTGGCTTGTGCTGTACTGAACACTCTGCCCTCATCCCCACGTCTGGGGATCACAGTCTGCTGTTTGGCTTATCTACCTAATTCAAGAGGGATCTGTAAATATTTTAGTATGTCCTTTAGTAAGTATCAAAAAAATACAAACAAAAAACCCAATCATCTAATCTCAGCACTAGGGAAGCTAAAGCAGGACAACTGATACAAGTTCAAGGCCAGCCTGCACTATCTAGTGAGTTCAGAGTCAGCCTGAACTATTATAAATAGCAAGACTATCTCAAAAACCAACCAAATAATACAACAACAACAAAAAAAAACAACTTCAAAATACCCATATAAGTATTAACTAAAATAAATAAATGACTGATTGAACATAAAAAGATCATTTAGTATTACTGATCTAGTGTATTTCCCTAAGTGGCACAATTTTTCTGTTAACCAATATAGTTCTTAGTGAAAAGAGACTACAGGATTCTCAAATGCTTGAGTCATGAAGTCTAGACCGTAGAATACCTATTAAATATCTGGATTCTGATGGAAATTACACTGTAAGGTCAGTATGATAAATCTTTTAAGTCAGAATGCTTGATACTTAAAAGAGAATCATAAAGCATTTATTACCAAGTAAAATCTAGAATACAGGGGCCGGGGAGAGAGCTCAGTACAATAAGCGCTTGCCTGACAAGTGCAAGGGCCTGAATTCAATCCCCAGTTCCACCAAAAAAAAAAAGAAAAAAATAATCTAGAGTACAAAATCATCTAAATCTTAACAAAGTACTCAATCTTACAATATCTCATAACAATGTAATAACCTCTGGTTTTGCTTTTTGAAACAGGGTTTTGGTATGTACACCATGCTGGCCTTGAACTCATGATCCTTCTACCTCCTAAGTGCTGGGATGTTAAGCATGTGCCACCATGCCTGGCTACAAAGTTTCTGATATTATATTTAATAATTTTATTTATCCTGTATTTTCAACACCAGAAAAACTAGACAGTAACAACAAAAGTCACTGTCTTCTTTGTCTTTTATACCCTGCAACTTACTTAGTGCTGCAATCCGTAAAGGCACAAGTGATGGAAGGCTTTTATAACAGGGCAGTTTGGTTAAAGCTGAATCCTCAGCCTCACACAAATTCAAAAGCTAGAAAAGATGAAACAAAGTGAGACCATTCCTCCTGGGAAGTCACAGCAACTTTGCAAGCAGCAAAACATAACAATCTGCTCTTCACATGGCAATATGATTAATAATGGACAAACTAAACACAAATTCTGCAAAGTATCACAGTGTGACTAAAATTCCTTATTTTAAGACAAAATTCCTGAACCTCATTAGTCAATACATTATTAGATACATTCTCATTCATCCTGATATGCTTTTTTCTTAAAATAGAGTATCCTTTTATCTAACTGCAAATTGTATGATGGTAGATCTGTCTCCCCCTTGTTTAGAGCTGCTTACACAATGCTCTAGGTAAGCACTCAAGAAACAGATGGGCCATAATGCAATTATCTGGGTGGATGTATTTTTTTCTCTTTTCCAATACAGAAATGTGTAATGAATGAAGGAAACTGACCACCACTGGAAATTCCTGTGGCTATTCCTGGATGTTCTAGCATATGTGCATCTCATATTTAAAATATATGTATGTGTACCTAATATTTAAAATGTATGTATGGGTATCTAATATTTAAAATATATATCTATCAGTATTTTTCCCTTTACTTACATCTTAGACAACCGGTATACTTTTTTTTTTTTTTCCACTTAAAGATTCCTACCAGGTAAAAGATTTAGAACAGTAGAAAATAGTATAAAAGTAAAGAATATATAGTAAAAATTATTTGCAACCACCCAACCCACTCAACTCCCCAGAGGAAACCACTTTTTCCAGGTCCTTGTAAAATGTTCAATAATACTCTCCTTGTACGAATGTTATGTGTGTGTGTAGATATATCTGTTATGTATCCTAAATATGACCACATGTCAAGATCTCCTGAAAAATCAAACAGTAGATTCTCAGGTCTTACTCTGTATACTGAGCCTCAATTTCCAGGAAAGGACTTAAGAGCTTCTATACTTTTCCAGAGACCCCTGCATGTTCTGTTGCAGCCAGTAGATCCTGAACATCTGGAGAAGAGTTTCATGCTCTCTACACCACAAGGTTCTGGTCCTACATTTATGGACAGTTTTCGGTGCAGGTTATAATTCGTCTGACTCCAAAACTACAATGGAAGCTGCTCTCCCACTTTCCAGAAGATCCTGACTCTCAATCAAGTCAAGGGCAAAGGTATAACAGTGCAACCATGAATTAAATGACCATGTGTCCCAGGAAAACTGAAGAATTTCAAAACAAAAAAATCTTAAGAGGTAAACTTTCACAGTTGAAAATTCAGACAGTACAAACCAGAAAGAATTTATTTCTTTAGAAATTTGGTCTGTTTACACTGTCTCTGCAAAAGCATACCTCATATGCTGTAAAAAGTCCAAATCAGGACTACCAAATCATTACTAAATTAAAGCTTTCAATCTGACTATACTTACAGTTTAATTTCTGTTGATCACTGCATAGTATCCCTTTACACTGTCTGCAATGACACATGTTTAGAAGATGTCAAGTGCCCGTGCCTGTGTTTGGGTCAACAGGAAGTCAAATCCAATAAACAAAATTGAGAGCATGGCTGGACAGTGCAGTGATTGGGAAGTGTGCTCTGAAATAAGCATTCCTGGTTACAAACTTAGGTCTGCAGCTCACTTGCTCTGTGGTTTTGGCTAAGAAACAAACACCATATCTTCACAATGGGAAGAAATAGCATCTATATCTCATAGGGCACTGTCAGAGGTAAATAAGAGCACTTATGGTGCCTCACCAGTACGTGGCACATTAAACCATTAGGAAGTTTAACAGACTGGCACTTGTTGTGGGCCACCCTATTTTGGGTTCCAGCTGCTAGAAGTGGTTAAAAAAGAAAGATACAGTCTTATTGTCTAAAACACAATTTTAAAGGACCAAAGCTCGAGCACAGTTCCTTGTAGAGTTGGCAAAGTACTGAAGGCTCAGAAAATCTTAACATTATGCTTAACGTCTCCGGGGAGCAGATCTTCCTTAGATTCCTTCTCAGCTGTATCAGGCTAAAATTGGTTACCTGTGCCACTGCCTGAATCTTGTTTGAACTCTACCTGACCAGTCTTCATGTATAAAGAGAGGCTGGCAGACACACCACCATCCACACCACTCCGCACTACCACCCCCCTACCTCTGTGTAGAACACCTTATGCTCCACCACGTTAAGATCCATTGTGAAGAGCCGGGGCTGCAGTGTGGTACAGAATGTGTTTCCTTCCATCAGGCCAATCTGTGCATTGGCAGGCTGGTGTCGAAGCAAGTGTTTCTTGGGCGGGACCATATCCTGGAGAACCTGGAAAAGCCAGGGAAAAACACTGCTTATCAGTTGCCTCTGTTAAATGCCTTTTGTGGCAATATTCCACACCCTCTGAAAACTGCGAGAGGCATAGTTATCGTAGAAGTTTTTAATGAGGCACGCAGGACATGTTTCAGGTGCTAGAACTGAGTTGTGGACAAGCCTGTCAGAAACATTTAGTTCCTAAGACTCCGGACTGATCTCTCTTAATTAAAACAAAACAGAAAGCAAAACTGGTATGTATAGTACTACATAGATTCAGGAAATCAGTCTTCTTTCTCTTGACACAAATTAGTGACACTGCCAAAATATATACACCGAAATTTGAATACAGGAAGCAAAAGAACATGCACAGACACTTTTGACAGGAACACAAAATTATAAAGTATTCACAACTCAAATTTGATAAAAACAAAAATTACCCTGGTTCTGTGTCAGAACTCTCACCTCTTTATGGGGTTCCATTATCACTGTCACACTCTTCCCAGTGACCTGCGCCAATACCTGCAGTGAATGCATTGCCTGTTTCCTTACAGTGGAGTTTGGAGAGGTGACTTCTCTAACTAAATCATGTGTCACATGATGAAAAGACTTCTCCTGAGCTGCCACAATCTCTTCAGCTCGTTCCTCATCTTTTAGAGGTGTAGCACACCTCATGAGGAGCTGCTCCAGTGTGGTCTTTGCCATGGCAACTGCCCCATTGGAAACCTGGAGATCAGGGAGGTCTTAGAATTAAAAAGACAGTGATATTGCCAACCATACCCACCTGCCCCTCACACTGGCTGCATCAATAAGACAGACTATTTTATATCTTATGTCACCCACCTGGCACCTTAGTACCTAAATCACCAAACATGACCTAGAAATAATCCTGGTGTTTACAAAGCAGTTAAGCTGGTGATATGCACTCTGTTCTTTCAGTATGTGTTAGATCTGCAAATGGTTCCACAAGAATAAAACACCTGTGGAAATCTGTAGTATATGAAAAGCAGCACCCTTTCCTTCACATGCACTCTGGTCTGTGATTGCTCCACAGCAAGCAAATCAGTACCCAGAAACAGCCTATGGAAGAGAGAGGTTTGGAGCTGTCCCTACACTGAAGACACTGTAAGGAAACTTGAACATTAGCATTTCCTTGCTGGGAGGAGCACATACTGCAGAAATGCCTCAGACTAACTGCTCTCCAGAACAACTAGCTACTTGAAAGCAGCAGGGTTAGCCTTACAGCCACCTACCTCTCCAGTTAAGTCCATCATGACAAAGAGGAGTGCTTTCAGGAAGGTCTGCTGGTTTTGAAGAACCCATGTGAGAGGCAGCCGCTCCATGAGAAATTTAATGGATACGACACCTCCCAGTTTTGCATACCAAGCCTGCTCATAGCAGCAGGCACACAAGCGCTCCACAATGTAGGAAAAGAGGGGAAGCTGGCAAGCCTGACAAGAGAAGCAAACAAGCCTTAAGGATACCACAACTCTCAAACTATCAGTTTCTAAAACTGGAAGAAACACAGGTACAAACACCCCTAGTATCATAAGACATTCCTCATTCCTCCTTACCCTTTCCTTTGAGCCCAGGATAATGCTTGCAACATCAAATATCACTGCCAAGGCCACTTCCCCAATCTTGCAAAGTTCTTTTTCTTCATAGGCCATACAGATAGCTATTGCATCAATAAGAACCAAGGGATCCATTCCTTTTGACCCATTCTCTTCACTGTGAAACATGGCTGTGCTGGGCTGGCTGCCCACCTGGTAGCAAGGCAACAAGAAAGGACCTGGAAGAAGAGTAGGCACATGAGGAAATTTCATCCCCATAATCATTCCTGGCCCTCAAACTGCAAAACTACCTCATTTTCCCCGAGGTTAAGAATTCAGAACTGGAAAAAAAAAAACAAAAAAAACAAAAACAAAAAAAGAATTCAGAACTGGGATTGACCATAGGTTGTTCTGCACATTCCTAACATATGAGTAGCAGTAAAAACAATAGTAACTGGGTGTGGTACTTCTAGCTCTCTGGGAGACTAAAGTAGAAGAATCACAAATTCAAGCCCCATCTGGGCAACTTAACATGACCCCATCTCAAAAATTAGTAATAATAATAATAGCAACATCTTCTGGATGGTTAACAACCTAAGTTTGCAGACCAAAATTAGAGAAAAAGGAGGGCTACAAGGAAAGCCAACATTTTGGCCCTAGCCTTCTAAGGTCAATTAAGACTCAGGACATATGAGAACTTGTACTGTAACATCATGTACCTCGGTAGTGTTCCAAATTTTCTGATCAAGAAGATTATGGGGCCAAAGAGGAAAGTGATCGATGACATAGAGTGTGCCTAAGGAGAGTCACATGGGGAGAAGACACTCTCTCAGGCTTTCACAGAGAGCACATTGGCCAAGCATTGGCCGTGACTCATCCACATGGCTGACACTGACAAAGGCTCTACAATCCGAGGTACAGGATCTCAGCATAAATCCTGAGGGCATTTCACTGACCTTCTCAGACCAAAAAGCTACAACTCTTGTTGCACAGGTCCTGCTTTACCTTGGTCTTAATCATCCAGTAGAAAAGTATGAAGACGAAATATAGGAAGTAAAGCCATGTTGTTATGTTGAGCTGTGGGGGACTCAGGTCAATAATTTCTGACATTGCCAGTTAAACAGAAGACCCATTGCTATTATGGGCTACTGGACTCTTTTAGAATATTTTGCTGAGTTTACACACCTATAATGTTCAACACAGAACTTTAAAAAAATGGGATATAACTATGAATGTCCATTTTGTATCTGTGTATTCAAAGTGGTTGGGATAGATATATAGTTGCATTCTCTTAATGAATAGAATGATTTTTTCTAATGGTGTTTGTAAGTAGGATCACAAGTCTGCATCTTGTACAGCAATTAACCACTAAGAAGAATATATACAGTGTATTATTTGTTGAAACTGTACTCTCGATTTGATTTGAAACTCTCTCATTGCTATATGTTTATCAATAAAACTTTGAAAAGAAAAAAAAATAATAACAGCAACAGTAGCCAAGTATACCAGTGAATACATATCATCAGAGAATAGCTAGCCACAGCAACTTGAAATTTAGCAGCTGGTGGTTACCAAGGCCATGCAAGATGGAGGTTATCAGGGTTAATTCTGCTAGAAAGACAATGTTCATACAGAAGAATCACTGAAAAACAATTAGCTGTTCAGTTGTATGGTACTGTTCTGGCCAAAAAGTTGGGAAAGTACATAGAAGAGTAAAAGCTTCTGAGGACAAGCTGGGGCAGTGCTATTTAAGAGTGGTTTGCAGCCTAACTGTCTGAGAGGAGACGCAAATATTTTATAAAAACGTCATCTGCAACAGATTAGAAATGAATAGAAACAGCACATCTGAAACCCCACCATCAGGAGCAGAAGAGGCCATGCCAGGCAAGAGGAACACCACCAAGAACTACCTTAAGCAGAAGCAAGCTCAGCCTTGAAAAATACCCTAACCTAAGGTAAGAAGATCAGCAATGAGTGGACTTCAAACCATTCAGTTTTACATGCAGTATGTCCATACATACCTCACCTTCATTTTCCTCACACACAACAAAGCATCTGATGATTACACTGAGTATATTTAAAAATTCTAAAACTTAGAAATAACTTTTAAGTCAATAAAGTGCCAACCACAGATGGAAGGCAAGAGACATGGTAGCACTCTCCTCTAATTCCAGCACTCTGGGAAGTGGAGGTAGGAGGATTGCTGGTTCAGCACCCAGGATGGGCGACTTAACAAGAATCTAGTTCAAAATAAAAAGTACAAAATGTGCCGGGGATGTAGCTTTATGCAAAGCCCTGGAATCAATTCCCAACTACCACTCAACCCCCCAAAAAGCACCAAAAATCTACAAGCTACTCTGCTTCTCTGAAACAACAAAGTATCTTGGATATCCTGACCAGGTTTCTAAAGCACATAAAGATGGGAAATAACCATGTCCTCCAACAACAATCCCCACACTCACCACACTGCTGAGCCACTGCCACCATGGTATAGTGGCGAATCAAGCTAGCGACAAAGGGCAAAGCACTGGGCCGCAGATCCTTGATAACAGCAGACATGAATGCTCCAGTCAGAGCCTGCTCAAATGTCTTCCGGGCTGGAGTATCTTGTGCTTTGTAACGATGTGAGATAATAACACTGGGTATCGTCTTTTCTGTAAAGCTAGAAGGCAAAATGACACCAATCATTACATGCACCAACTAGTGAACTGTAACAACCTGCCCACATTTAGATACTCCTAGGAAAGTTACTTTCTGTTTCATTTTCTGCAGTATCTGAAAGCAAATCTGAATTTCGTTATCAATATTTATACTCAGTATTTGAAGAGACACCAAATATGTTCTACCCAATATGAGCACAAGCAATTAAATGTCAACATACTCAGGATTTTTAAAACTTTTTAAAATTAATTTTATTGGTATAATTTAAATACACATAATGATTAACATTCATCACAGGTAATGTGTACCTGAACATGATTAACATTGATCCTCCTTTCCTATTCCCCTACCCTCTAAATCCTTTCCTCATTTACAAAAACTATTTTCATTCTTTCTTTTTCCCTTTTCCCCTCTTTAGTTCTGCTTCCTGTCTAAACATTTTTTTTTCCTAATTCATCCTCTCTAGTATATATTTTGGTCCTTATTTTCCCTTTCAGTGTCTCACATTAGAGAAACAATGTAATAAACGTGTGTCAGATCTATTTCACTTAAAAGTAAGGTCTTTTCATTTATTTACCTAGAAATGCCTCAAGTTTATCCTTCTTTACGGCAAAGTAGTATTCCACTGTATTAAAAAACACACTTATCCATTCTTCTACTGATGGGTGAGGTGACTGGACTGCTTCCAAGACTTTGCTATTATAAACTATACTCAGTCTTTTCATCACTTTCTATTTAAGAAAACTGACCTTTGTAGTTGAAAATAGTCAATCCTAAAAAGATACTAAAATCAGTGGTCTGAAAGCACCTCAAGGTCCCCAGTGCTTGTCAGGCAGGTGCTGTGTTCCACTATCTTTTATTTTCCTTTTTTTTTTTTTTTTTTTCAGGGCAGGTCTGGCTGGCTTGAGTTGTGGGGCTCGAACCCCAGCAACCTGAGCCTGACTGTTTTGTTGAAGCAGCCACTTAAAGAACTGAGCTACGGGGCAGGCCCCCTTATTTTGCTTTTTATTTATACTTCAGATTTCTCATGTAAGGTAACCATGCAATATTTAAGCTTATGCATCTGGTTTATTTTACTTCATTGAGGGCTCAAGTTTTATGTCTTCATACAAATGACAAATTTATCTTATTGAGAGTCCTCATTGTGTATAAATACCACATGTTCTGTATTGATTCCTCAGTGTGTGGACAGAGGCCACTTCTAAGATGCAGGTATTGTGGACTGCACTGTGTAAACATGGGCGTGCAGGTATCCCTGTTAGAGACAAAGCCACCCAAGCAGGCACGCAGGCGAGAGCTACTAACCTCTCCACCATTCATCAAGAAGCCCTTTCTTCATAGTAAAGGCTCGAGTCCCTGGCTGGAGAAAGCACACAGCAACAGCCAGAAACATCTCATGAACTTAGAAAGTGCTCACAAATTGATGACAGCAAAAGAACACAGTAAACAAAAAGGGCTCTCATGAACAGAATTAGAATCCATGAGTCAAGAGCATGCTGACCATTCACCAATGGGACAAGTTAACCTCAAGCGTCTCCCTTGTCCTTTCACACCTTTTCCCTGCCCGACTGACAAACATAATGTGTGAGAACATTGACATGATGTGTGACAACACATCCCTGGGAGTTCTATTAGTAGAGGACATTACTTGTCTCTTCATAATGAAGATACACACAATCCTGCTGCTCTACAAGAGCTAGTCTCCTCAAAAATGCCATATATCGAAGGCAGTCGGGCTCAGGATACTGTGGTTTGATCCCCAGATCCTCATGCCTTACCAGACCTTAAGGCATCCTGAGAAACAAACAAACAAAAATCCTTCTGAACTTTTAGACAGGGCATGGTGGTACGCGACTGTAATCCCAGCTCTTGGGAGACTGTAAACAGGCAGATAACTGTAAGTCTGATCTAGTAGGGAGACCCTGAACACCCTGTAGACCTTTCCCTAAAAAATACAAAAAATAAACCGAGAAGTCTACTTTGTTTAAAAAAAAAAAAAAAATGACATATATCATAAATGTAAGAGAAAACATAAACATTCATTTTAAAACTTACTGGGAAAATTATCCATGACGTAATTATTTTGTTTTTTGTTTAATGTACTGTAATGTCACCACATTCTTGATCATGGTTATGTTTTTCTTTACTCCAAAGTCAGTCTTGCCAGAGGCTTTTCAATTTTGTTTTTTTTTTTTTTTAAAA